AGAAATTAGGCAAGGAAAAAAGAAAAATTAAAGACATCCAAACCAGAGAGGAAAAGTAAAATTGCCTCTGCTGACAGATGATAAAAACTTAAATAGACTAAAAGACTCCTGCAAATATATAAAATATATACTAAATATACTAAAGACTCCCCCAAACAAAATAAGAAAAGAAATTCAATAAGGTTGCAGGCTACAAAATCAACATACAGAAATTATTTTTGTTACTATACACTAACATTATATCTGAGAAAAGAAAAAAATAGTATTATTTACAATAGTATAAAAAGAAAAAAATAAAATACTTAGGAATAAATTTAACCATGGAGTTAAAAGATCTGTAGCCTGAAAGCCATAAGATTTTGATGAAAGAAACTGGCAGACACAAATGGAATATATTCCATATTTATGGATTGGAAGAGTTAATATTGTTAAAATGTCTATAGTATCCAAAGCAATCTACAGAGTTAATGTGATCAACTTTTAGAAAAATGCCTAAAAAAAACAAAAAGAGAAGACTCAAATAAGAAACTTCAGACGTGAACGAGGAGACACTACACAGATACCACAGAAATAAAAAGCTTCAAAGAGGTTGCTATGAACAATTGTACATCAACAAATTGGATAACCTAGAAGGAATGGATAAATTCCTAGAAACAGACAACCTACCAAGTGAATCATGAAGAAATGGAAATTCTGAGCAGACCAGTAACAAGCAGAAGGCAATCAAATCATAGCACATACTAATCAAAAACCTCCCAGCAAAGAAAGGCAAAGGACCAGATGGCTTCATGAGTAAACTTTACCAAACATTTAAAGAACAATTAATTAATGTCAATCCTTGTTAAACCTCCAAAATATGGAAATGGAGAGAACACTCCCAATGTTTTATGACACCAATACTACCCCAATACAAAAGCCAGGTAAGTATACTACCAGAAAAAACAAACAAACAAACAAAAAAGAACAAACTGCAGACAATATCCATGAATGATTGGATGTAAAAATCCTTAACAAAATACTAGCAAATTGAACTCAACAGCACATTAAAAGGGTCATATACCATCATTAAGTAGGATCATTGCTTGGAATGAAAAGATGGTTTGACTAATGCAAACTAATGTGTGATACATCATATTAAGAGAATGAAAGATAAAAACTATATAGTAATCTCAAAAGATGCAGAAAAAGTACTTGACAATATACATCCTCTCAGGTTAAAAACTCAACAGGATAAGTATGGAATGAATCAACCTCAACATAATAAAGGTCATATGTGAAAAGCCCACCACTAATATCATACTTAATGATGAAAGGTTGAAATCTTTCCTTTAAGATTATGAATAAGTTTAAGGAAACTCACTCTTTTGATACCTATTCTACATAGTATTGGAAGTCATAGCCAGAGAAATTAGGCAAGGAAAAAAGAAAAATTAAAGACATCCAAACCAGAGAGGAAAAGTAAAATTGCCTCTGCTGACAGATGATAAAAACTTAAATAGACTAAAAGACTCCTGCAAATATATAAAATATATACTAAATATACTAAAGACTCCCCCAAACAAAATAAGAAAAGAAATTCAATAAGGTTGCAGGCTACAAAATCAACATACAGAAATTATTTTTGTTACTATACACTAACATTATATCTGAGAAAAGAAAAAAATAGTATTATTTACAATAGTATAAAAAGAAAAAAATAAAATACTTAGGAATAAATTTAACCATGGAGTTAAAAGATCTGTAGCCTGAAAGCCATAAGATTTTGATGAAAGAAACTGGCAGACACAAATGGAATATATTCCATATTTATGGATTGGAAGAGTTAATATTGTTAAAATGTCTATAGTATCCAAAGCAATCTACAGAGTTAATGTGATCCTTGTCAAAATGCTAATGGCATTTTTCATAGAACTAGAACACATAATTCTAAAATTTGAATGGAAGCACAAAAGATGCCAAATAGCTAAAGTATACTGGAAAAGAACAAAGCAGGAGGCATTATTCTTTCTGTCTTAAAACTATATTACAAAGCTACAGAAATCAAAACAGTGTGGTACTGGCATAAAAATGACACATTGACCAATGAAACAGAATTGAGAGACCAGGAATAAACTCTCACATATACAGTCAACTAACATTTGGTGAGAAAGCTAATAGTCTCCTCAATAAATGGTGTTGGGAAACTGGATAATCATATACAGGAGAATTAAATTGGACCCCCTTTCCTACACCACTCACAAAAATGAACTGGATGTAGATTAAAGACTTAAACACAAGACCTGCTGTTATAAAAGTCCTAGGGAAAAAAAACAGGATAAAAGCTCCTTAACATTGGTCTTGACATTAATTTTTAGTCATGACACCAAAAATACAAACAATAAATAAAACAAATAAAAGTGAGATTACATCAAATAAAAAAACCTTCTGCAAGGCAAGATAATAATCTATAAAATGAAAAAGGCAACCTAAGAAATGAGAGAAAATATTTGCAAACCTTCTACTTAATAAGGGGTTAATATCCAAAATATAAGGAACTCTAAAACTTGATAGCAAAACAAAGCAAAACAAACATTAAGAAAAATAAAAGCAACAACAACAAAACAAATCAGGTGAATCATGGAGAACACAGCCTGTGATTCCGTCACTTCTTCCTATGTTGCCAAACAGTAACTACACCAGTGGGGGTGAGGATTTGATAATATGGTAACTGTGGAACCACTGTGCTGTGTATTTGATACCAATGAAAGGTTGAATATCAATGACACTTAGATTTAAAAAAGTACTTTATTGCTAAAAAAGAAAAAATCAGCAGAGTATTTGAATAGACACCTTTCCAAAGGAGACATACAAATGACCAAAGGTATGTGAAAAGATGATTAACATCACTGATTATCAGGGAAATGCAAGTCAAAAGCATGATGAGATGTCACCTCACCTGATAGAATGACTATCATTAAAAAGACAGAAGATAAAAAGTGTTGGTGAGGATGTGGTGAATAGGAACTCTTGTGCACTGTTGGCAGGAATGTAAATTGGGAGAGCCACTGTGGATAACAGTATGGAAGTTCTTCAAAAAATTAAAAATATAAGTATCATATGATTCAGCAATCTCACTTGCGGGTATATATACAGAGGAAATGAAATCAGGGTCTCAAAGAGGTATCTGCATGCCCATGTTCATTGCAGCACTATTCACAAAAGATATGACAGCAACCTAAGTGTCCACCAATGGATGGATGGATAAAGATGTGGTATATATGTATATATAATGGACTATAATTCATCCATGAAAAAGAAGGAAATTCTGCAATTCACAACAACATGGATTGACCTTGAGGGCATTATGCTAAGAGAAATAGGTCAGAGAAAACAAATACTACATGACCTATTTATATGTGGACTCTAAGAAGGTGAACTCTTAGAAACAATGAGTAGAAAAGGGTTTGCCAGGAACTGGGGGTGGTGGATATAGAGAGATATTGGTCAAAGAGTATAAACTTCCAGTTATAAAATGAGTTATGTTCACAGGACCCAATATATAGCATGGTGACTATAGTTAACAGTATTGTATCATACACTTGAGAGTTGCTAAAATACTAGATCTGAAATGTTCTTAACCACACACATACACACAAAAAGGTAATTTAAGGTATGGTGGCATTAACTATCCCTACTGTGATAATCACTTTGCAATAGATACATGTATCAAAGCCCACAATGTATACCTTAAACTTACACAATGATATATATCAATTAAATTTCAATGAGCTGGAAAAACTAAAATTTTGCATTATATTCACAAAAGAGTTTACAGTTTTCTACTGAGACTAGCATGGGAACATACGGTACATAAAAAGCAGATGGAATAATTTAAACAGCACTGGCATTACCTGGTCTTTAAAAGCTTGGTAATATTTCTGTGTGGAGACATTTGGACCTGATATTTGGGTGTGTACATTTGAGAAGGGAGGCTAAATAATATTTTCTACATTATTTCTATAATGATTACTCTATTTAGAATTTCTGTTTTTATTGGTATCAATTTTGGTAAATTTCATATTGAATTTTTGTTTATTTCTCAATGATTTGCTTTGAGAATATTAATGTTATGTTATTTGGTGCATACATACTTAAAATGGAAGTTATTGGCATAATTTTTACTCCTTTTAAAAGTATAAAATGCTTTTATTTTTCTAAAAAATATAAATTTGGTGAGGATGTGGAGAAATTGGAAATCTTTTACAATGTTGGTGGGACTATAAAATGGTGTAACTGCTTTGGAAAACAGTATGAAGTTTTCTCAAAAAGATTAAGACCTGTCATATGATCTTGCAATCTCACTTCTGGGCACATTTCCAAAGAATTAAAATCAAGAATCAAAGAGATATTTTCACTATTATGTTGACTGCAGCATTATTTACAACAGCCAAATAATGGAAACAACCTAAATGTCCATCAATGAATGAATGAAGAAAAGATGGTATACACGTACAATGTAATATTATTCAGTAATTAAAGAGAGAAGGAAATCCTGCCAAATGGCGACAACATGGATGCACCTGGTGGACATTATACTAAGTGAAGTAAGCCAGACACAGAAGGCAAATACTACTTAACACCACATGTATGAAGTATCTACAATAGTCAAAATCAAACTCATAGAAATAGGGCTAGAGGTTGGGGAAATGGGAAGTTGCTGTAAAGTTTCGTTATACAAGATAAGTAACTTTTAGAGATATGTTGTTCCACACTGTGTCTGTAATTAACATTATTTCTGTATTATGCACTTAAACAATTTCAGAGAGTAGATCCCATGACAAGTGTTCTTAGGATAAAAAAGGAAAAAAATGAGAATTCTGATGAAATTCTTAAATCTTAAAAAAATAAGACAATGTTCTCTTTAGACAAAGTCCATTTAATTTCTACAGTCAGAAATATTTAAAATTAATATAAAATATTTGTATCTTTCCTGAACAAAGAGTTCATGATACTTGATTTACCTGTGTATTCCAGGTGAAATCCGGCAGCAGAAACACTGATGTCTGATTGAAAATTTAGATAGAGATTATTAGATGTACTATTCAAAAGATGCGGTATTGTTGTTCCTGAAATGATAATTGAAAAGGCAATCAATGATCACATAATAAATATTACAGTAAAAGTAAGTTAACTACTAATCAGCCAATAGACTGTTGCTGAAATTATGTATTAGTCAAGTGCTTTTCAAGAATTTTTAAGTAAAAATATTTCTCACAGATTTCTTTTTAGTTTTATTTTCCTTGACTATCTCCAAGGAGATAAACTACTGAGATCACTTTAGATTGCTCCCTAAAAAAAGGCAGGAGCAACAAGAACAGACCAAAGTCAAAGCAGTAAATTTTACAGATCACCTAAAATAAATATTTTGAATTCCATGTGGATTTCAAAATTCAATGCATGAGCTAACAATAAACTGAATTTTAAAGTGCGCATGTGATTTTTATGGTACAGTAACTTAAGATTTTGTATGGGTTCAGAGGAGATATGCATTTATTACCCTTTATTATATTAAAATTATTAAATATTATATATATATATGTATGTTCTATACCAAATCAGGTACCTTGGTATTTTTTATATTCTGACAGCAAAGCTGGTAGTTAGTGTTCCAAAAATACCATTATGAACTAGTATTAGCTTTGTCTCTCAGCAAATGCATTATAATGATGTTCTTCTGAATTTCTAGAGGAAATCAACTTTATTCAATTATTGAGTCAAAGTAGAAAATATCTGCTTGAACCAATTACTTCTTGACTATTTGACACTGAGTACTAGTTCAAAATCCTTCTGACTACAACTCAAGCAGTTTCAAATGACAAGCCTAAAAATAACTGTCAACTGTATGTTTTAAGATAAAGTTCAATAAGCCTATGAGCTCAATGTTGCAAATTTATTTTATAACTAGGCACTTGACACTTTATACACCTCTGTGAACCTTAACCACTGACTGATCCTTCTATAAGAGAAATCAGGATGACTTCATTATAGAACACATCCTTGATTCTGTTTTTGTTTTCGTTTTGCTTTCTGAACTTGCTCTCTGTCCATAGTGTCCTATCTATATCCCTGGAAATAGGTAAATAGAAATTCAAGGTCACTCAACTTGCTTTTAGTCTTTTAGGGGATCTCAGTGATTAAGAGTTCTGATTCTGCAGTCACACCAGCTGGGTCCCAGTCTCATTCTAATATTACTGTACAACCTCAGGCAACTTAATCACTGTACACTTCAGTGACCTTCCAAGACTGCTAGGAAAGACCAAATGAGGAAATGTATGAAGGCCTTACACAGAGCTAGCACTCTGCAACAACAGCTGTTATTCATCCCTTTTACCATCTTTATTGTTGTATTTAATAGACTATTACAACTAATCTAGCATAAACAAACATATATGCAAATTTTTATGATTTTTTTCCCAAGAAAGATTTCTTTCTAAATCTACATCTAAAATATTTTTTATGACTAAACCAAATTACTCCCACTCTAGATATTTCTTCTTTCCTTTACTCAATTAGGATGCTGAAAACTAGTTACCATACTTCATTTAAAAATCTATTAAAAACTTAAAATCATTAAACTGGTTTCAGTATATCTGAAATGTGTAAGTTAATAATCACATGTTCATATTTTTAGAGTTAAAAAGTATATTTAAAGACTATAGTTAAAATTAAAGTAAAACTTGATTTCACCTTTTGTATGCTGAAAGAAGCTGTTAGATTATTGCATAAATTACCTTTAACAACCTTAACAAATTTAAAAACCTCCTGGTCTTTGTATGTGTATATATATTAATTTTATATAATTTTATTCATTTCATAGAAATAATTTTGCATTCTCTTTATTCTTACTCAACAGTGCCTTGCAGTATTTGCTGTGTTGTTACATGGTCTCTATAATTATTTTAATGGCTGTGTACCATTATATTTATTGGACAAGCATTGTCTAATTTTTAACTATTATTGTTTATCCTTGTTTTTTTAAGGGAAAGGGGCACACATACTCTTCCTGAACCACAGCTCAGCTGAAAAAATTACCATTAATATAAAAGCATCAGTAAATAATTACACAGATACAGTAAGAACATAGTAAGGTTTTAAAGAGCAATTTCATTACCTGTAAAGCCTTTCAAAATTGTAACCTTGTAATTTAGTTTCTTGTATATAGTTTATAAAAAGCAAATTAAAACCACCACTAAGACTTCTGGGAAGATCTTTTAAAAAGGAGAGATTTTTATGTTCTTAATTATATCTGATTTCAATTAAGCTAGTTCTTTTATTTACCTGAATAACTTCCAAGTCTTGGAGCATTGTTGTCTCCCCCATCATAAAAATCCAGAGAATCCCAATTATGTTCTGTAGCAAAGCTGACAACTTGCACCTGTGAAATAAGTACTGGTAAGGATACATATTCCTAAAAAATATCAATATACTCTAGTCTATTTAGCCCACTAAAGAAAGAATGCAAAGGTTGAACCAGATCACTGTGGTCCTTCACAGGATTTTAACAGAACTGAGCATTGCCATTATGGCCCTGGCCGACATGAGCTGACTTTTATAACAGAGGTGTAAGGGGCACCTACAAGTGCTCACTAGAGTGTAACAAAGAGAATGTCTGCCACCATCTCAGAGAGTTATTACAAGTGCTATGAATTTAATGCCTCAGTGCCAGGCATCTGATGCATGTTCCAAACAATTGATTACATTTTATGTTCTGGAGTGTTAAATTCTTGTCATTGATTGAGTTTTATCATTTGCTTTAGCTAGTAGGAAATAGCCAGATTAGTGGCCCACAAGTATATGGGACCTTATATTATATAGTTTTTTGAACTAGGTTTATCCTGGATACATTTTATTTTTCCTTTCTTTGCATAATTTTGCTATTTCCTGTCTTTGTTTTATTTAAAAATACAAAACAAAACAGTATTATTATACCCTATGCACATTTTTAACAGGCACAATAAGGATGACAGAAAGTGATACTTTGTAACTGATTTGGTTACATCTTTTAAAGATCATTTTTTATGATTGGAGTTGTAATAACTAAATCACTGTAATAGTACCTAAAGTTGGTAAGGGATATGCTGGATTATAATTCTCTCATATCTTTTACATTTTATTTAAAGAAAGAGGCATGTGTTACTTTGTTGTACTTCACTTGGCACAGCTTGAGCTTTTCCAAGAACACACAGGACCTTCACAACTGTGGATGCTATCTATTTTTCTCTTTGTTATTACATATTTTATAGTTTTGGAGGAGGGAAAGGAATAACTTTGTTAAATCAATTTATTCAGCTAACATCTGTTTTAATGTAAAGTACTACACCCATTCATTCTCCAAATATAACAGCGGCATTCACTAAAAATTTCTTATCCACAAAAAATCCATCATTATTCTATTCAAGTGAATGCCCATGCCTCTTTTCCAGGGGTGAGTGCCACATGGCAACAGATACTCTGACTGTGAGAAAGGCATTAGTCCCAATGGCAGTGTTCCAGGACAGGAAGAGGACCAGAAATAAAGCTGTATGGTTTTATTACAACCACCACCTCCTTAAATAATCATCAATTCTCCTTCATATCTGAATTCTCCTTCAATTCAAGGAAAGAAAAGATCATACTCAGCAAAAAAAAGAATGATTCATGCAGGAATTGACATTTGGGATAAGCTAAATGTATTGAGCTTTTCCACTGAAAAAAAACAATGAGTTAGGAAGAACGTTGAGAAGGCAAGCAATGAGGTGGATTTAGTGAACCGTCAGTAATCCAATTTAGCCACAGTGGAGAGCATTTACATAAGAGGAAATATGCAAGCATAGTTAGAAAAAGTAGAGAAAAGTTGGAAACAGCAGAGCTTAGTGGATAAATACAAGAGACGTTAGAGTCAGAATACCGGGATCAGCAACTTCCGGGCTCCCTCTACTCATGGGCAAATTGTTAATCTCTCTATACCAGACATTACTTCCAAAAATCACTTCAGTAATTGTATGTAATTCATAGATTTGTTGTCAAAATTAGATAATTTTAGCTTAAAACAGTGTCCAGGGTGTATTAAGAATTTACTGTATTTTGGCTAGAAGAGAGATTGAGAGAGAGAGAGACTATTGACTGAACACGACCATAATAATTAGGCAGTTGAGGAGTATTCCACTGAAGGCTTTAGAAGGGGATTAAAAGGAGCATAAAAAGTACTACACTTACAGTATAGCACTGCAGTGGTGAAGAAAATAAAACTGAAAAGAAAATTTTAGTATCTACTGCAGTAGCTTGTGTGTAAAGCAATGAAAGGCTAAAGCAGGCTGGAGCAGGAAGAGTGGAATGGGACACCTAGATGTCACAAGTGTCACTATAGGGGAAGTTACTGGGTTTTATACGATTTGAATAGGGGAAGGAAGTAAGAAGGAAAATTTAAGAATAGTTAATCCTTTATTTCCCCTTAGTTATTATGATCAGAGCAGTGGTAAGAATAAAAAATGCAGACATCTCCAGGAAAACCAATTGCCTTGGTGAAAGGAAGAAAATTTATTTAATTCTGTATTCCTATGTTTAGCAGACTGAATGGTGGCTTTCAAAGCTATCACGTCCTAATTGCTAGAACCTGTGAATATAACCTTATATGGAAAAAGGTCTTTAAGGTGTGATTAAAGAAATGATTTTGAGATAGAAAGATTATTTTAGATTATTCAGGTGGACCCTAGATATAATCATATGTGTTCTTATATAAAAGATGCAAACAGAAATGTGACACAGACAGAACAGGACAAGGCAAAGTGACCATGGAGGCAAAAAAGCAGGATGTGGCAGATTCCAAGGAATGTTAGCAGCCACGAGAAACTGGAAGAGGCAAGGAGAGGATTCTTTCTGGGGAAGAGTGGAGAGTTTGGGCACTGGGGAGAGTGCAGAGTAGGGATTCAGCCCTGTCAGAACCTTGGTTTCAGAGCAGTAAAACTGATTTGGGATGTCTGGCTTCCACTACCAAGTAATAACAGAATAAGTGTCTGTTATTTTCAGCTATCTGATTTTTGGTAATTTGTCATAGCAACCACAGAAAACTCAAACAATTTGCAGTAGGATTCTTGACAAACTGTGAATGTACTTTGGCATAATAAACACATAAAGGGTGTAGGAGATGCAAGTAAATGATTAAGAACTTACTATGACAAAAATTAAATGACAGTCAAGTAAGATTTCAAAAGAAGCAGATACTAATTCAGTCGTGAGAAGAACTTCGCATTAGGTGGAGTTGTGAGGGTAGACTTATGAGGTAATACATTTCCAATCACTAAAACCAGATATCCCTCATAAAGACATTCAAGCTCTATTTTACTTAGGAAGATTATATGAACTCATGATAATCATTCTACAAATTGACACAATTAAGTAACAAACATTTTTTCCCATGGTTCATCACATAAAGATTGCCCTTTTGCTTGATAATTCCATTGCTGTTGGACATGGCCCCTTAGGAATTCTCCCACCCAATTTATTTTGCTAAAATACATGAACAGGCAAATGAATGAATTCACTCCTACTTCTCCCTATAAACTTCTCATGTGACATTAATATAACAAATTGGTGTATTTATTGAGGTTATTTTCAAAGGAAGCTCCATCATTTAATATTATTTGTAACTTATTCATCATTTTAAATGTGTCTGCTCTTCTTTCCACTAGAGGTTATTCCATTTCATTTAATACATGATATATTAGATTTATATAATTCTTTATTCACTTACATATTCAGTGCAACAGAACAAAATACAATAAGCATTGCTTTTAGGTAAGTGTAGTGAAATTTCAAATATAACTTATATATTACATATGTATGTGTGTGTTATATAATTTACCATGATTTAGCAACATGTCTAAAATTAACATACATATAAAAGGTTAACTGGGAAAAAAGTACTTGATAGTCCTTTAGAGTATTTAAACGTGCAATACACTTCACATTCTATAAAGTTTGATAAGTGTTCTGTAAAATTTTTTTTCCTAAGTGTAATCATTAAGCAAAATGCTTCATCAAAGAAAGATTTTATAGTCTCATTAGCATAAATGTCCAGGTTTGAAGAGTGTTTGACTAGGACAAGTGATACACAAGATCCTTTTTCTGCAGATGTCTTATTAACTCACCATGCCCTGTTAACTCCTTAAAATAACTTAAACTAACTCCAAACTTTACTGCTTGTGAAGGTATATTCATTGGTTCATTCTAAGAATATTTACTGAGCATATCCTGCCAGGTGCTGTGCTAGATGCTTGAACAGGATCGGTTACTGCCCTCATGAACCCGCAGATAAGTAAGTAATAAAATAAGATGTGATGGGTGTTATGAGAAGGAATACAGGACTTACGAGAATATATAGCATGGTAACCTAACCTTGTCTGAGGTTCATGGAAGATGTTCCATAGGAACTTTAAGTTGAGACAGAAATGATGAGTAAGAATAAGTCAAATAAAGGGGATCATGAAAGTGTTGCAGGCAGAACAAACAATAAGCACAAAGGTCCAGAGGCAAAAGAGAGCCAGGTTTTTATAAAGAATGAAAGTAGTGTGAATAGAAGAGGCAAGACATGAAGACAAAGCACAAAGGCACAATCAAGTGTGTCAAGGAGTTAAGGAAATAGACAACTGAGGTATCTTAAGCAGGAAAGTGATAGTATTAGGGTTGTATGTTTAGGTTCCTTTCTCTGGCCTATGAGGAACAGATTGGAGGAGAATAAGAAGCTGGGACAGGGATGATGATCACCTCATCTTGAGTGGTAAAAGTTTGAATGGAGAGAAATACACTTACTTGAGAGATTTATGAAAAAGAGACCTGATGTATTTCATTGTGCAGAGCAGGAGAAAAAGAAAAAAATCATCAAAATTTCTGGTTTGTGCAACTGAATGGATGAGGGCTCCTCTGAGAAAAGAATACACTGAAGAAGATCCACAGTTCTGAGAAAAAAATACTATGAAATCTATTTCTGAACAGGATGAATTTGAGATGCCATCAAGAAGTTCAGTTGAAAATGTAGGAAGCTGTATAAATGGCATGCAGCTTAGGTGAAAATCTGTGGTTAGGCATTTACGTTTGGAAATCTCCATTTATTCAGTCCCTTATTTTAAGAAAAATGCTTTCTATTTGTCTAATTTAGGTCCTGGGCATCATCAGCACAGAATGATAGTCATGGAAGCAGACAAGGTGGCAGAGAGAACGATGTGAGATGAGATGAACAAAGGCCACAGACACAAATACCGTATCTGGTGAGCTGAAGAGGATGAGGAGGCCATGTTTCTAGATGTAGAAGTAGGAGCCACAGACGTCAACAAGAAAACAAAAAGAAGTCTAAAAGGGTACTGGTGCCATGGCAACTAAGTAGAAGAAACACATTTTAATATGAGTAAGGGGAGAATCGGCAGGATAGAATGCTGCCACCAAAGTCAGCAGAATGAGCCACAGAGCGCATTTAACGACAGACAGGTCCTCGGTGATCACCCTGAGACTGGCTCAGTAAGTGCACTAGATGTTGAAGCCACATTGTAGGGGGGGCAAAAAATGGAGGATAAGAGTGAGAAGGAAAATGCCAGAGTTGTTGTTATTGTAAGATGAGATAAAATTGGACAAACTGATGTGAATATACAGTTGCTCTATAATCACTTTTATAAACTTACAACCGTGTGATGTAGGAAATGTTCTCTTAGGTTCTAAAGTTATCATTTCATTTCAGAATCTCTGTGCAACCTGGAACATGGACAATCCTAAAACCCTTGTTATTTTTACTGATAGTAAGATAGGTTTGATTGGTTACTGCCGAAGTTTCCAAGTTGGCCATAAAATGATAGCACATCTAGCTAGAATGTATGCAAAAACCTGAAGTCTTTTGATTTTGAATGTTTTTAAAACACTGAAAATGTATGTTTCATGTTTTCTCATTGGTTTACTGACCTATTTTACTCCTGACACCTTTCAAGAAAATTTTTGAGTTTTCTGAAAAATTATAAATATATACTTTAAAAGTTGACCTTTTTTACCTAAAATTAAACTATCTAATTTGTTTCATGGATGATGTTTTGCTTTCTCCATAACATATATGTATAATTGGAGAAGTAATTATTTTTATGAAATATAGACCATGTAATATTTTGTGAAGCATTATTATCTTCCATGGAGTGCATACTGACTCGGCAGTAGAATGCCGTCAAACATTCTCCTGCAAAACTAACTGGTCAAATTGCTCTCTCCAAAATGGTCACAATTTAAATAATATGGTAGGTATGGTGACTGTCTATAAAATAACATCCGTCTTCCTTGGTAACAGAGAATTAGTTTGTTCAATTAAATGAGATCAAATCTGTGTGCAATAGAGGAGGCTGAGTCCCTTCTCTGATACGGGTTCTTAATATTGATTTCTTTGAGCCAAATTATAGGAAATCTTTTGCTATTGCCCAGTGTATGACTTAGGAAAGGATAACACAATTTTGGTCAATAGGACAGGAGGGAAAGTATGATGGAAGGTTTCTTGAACAGTTGTCTTAGTCATCGTAGACATACATCAGGTAGAGACATTTTGTATCTATCTTGTTGGTCACTGCTGTATAAGGCTGGTATGCCTAGAGCTCTGGTAGTCATATCAAGACCATGAGACAGGATACCCAAGAATAAGCTAACATGCTAACGGTGGCAGAGTAGAGAGAAGGAAAAAGCCTGGGTCAGGAAAGGTACAACTGAACCTCTGATAAATAACCCTTGAATCATCTTACCCTGATTTCATGTTATATGGGCAACATGTTTTTCTTATTGTTTAGGCCATCTTGAACTTTCTTGTTTTCTCCAGGTGAAAACATTAATAAGTATCTTTCTATTAAATTCTACCACTTCAGTCAAATGCACGTTCTAAACCTTTAGAACTAATGTGCATCCTGGCATCTCTGAAAAGATTAACTTTAAATACACAAGGAGAAGAAGAAAAATGTAAATATCCTTACTTGAATGCCAGCTCCTTCTGGCACTGTGAGCTTCCATACACAACTCAGATTGTTGTCATAAGGCTCAGGGTATCCAGGAGACAAAATAGTCCCTTTACGCTTAGCTAAAATTCCACCACAGGGCACTAAAAGTAAATAAATTCAAGAGAAGGAGTTAATTCTAAAGCAAAGGATTAAAACAAGAGAAAAGGTCAGAGATAACATCTTAGATACTAGACTTGTAAACACAATCAAATATTACTATTTTAAAATTCAGAAGAACCATTAAAATGAAGTCTTCTTCTACCACAAAATCTTTAAAAAAGTAAATAGGCAACATTAATGGATAACTTTACAATGGCATACCTGAAATAATTCTACAGTTATAAAAGCATACTTCAATAGCATTTTATTTGTATCATGTTGCTAAAAAGTGCATCAACACATTTACATTAAAATTGCTCAATCTAGATATAGAATATTTTATATTTACTTTTCCCTTCATGCATCTTTTGAGGAGTAATAGCATCTTTTGAGGATTAATGCTGGTGAAGATAATGATTATGTTAAGATCATAATGTTTATAGAGAGCCTAATATTTGCCAGGCACTCTTCTAAGCACTTTACATATATTAACTCCTTAAAACCTCTCAACAATCCAGTTAGATATGAACAAGTATTCTCCTCATTTTACAGCTGAGGAAATGGAGTAGTCACTAAGTGTTTAAACAGCTTGCCCAAGATCACATAGCCAGTAAGAGAGGGAACGGAATTTCAGAAATGGCAGTTTGGCTCCAGAGTCCATCTTCTCTAGTGGAAAGAGAACACTCATGGGGCCAGGCTGGTTACTTTCTGTACAACTTGTATGAGAAAGAGTAACTCCCCACTTTTCTCCTTCCCCACCCTCCCTCCCACACCCTCCCCTTTGGTAACCACTAGTCCCTTCTTGGAGTCTGTGAGTCTGCTGCTATTTTGTTCCTTCAGTTTTGCTTCATTGTTACACTCCACCTGGTATATGTGGGGTCACGGGAAAGACAGTGTAGCTCAGAGAAGACAAATAGGGACTCTGTCTGTGGCATCTTACTACACTGATGGACAGTGACTGCACTAGGGTATGGGGGGACTCGATAATAAGGGTGAATGTAATAATCACATTGGTTTTCTTGTGAAACCTTCATAAGAGTGGAGATCAATGATACCTTAATAATAAAAAAAAACTAAAAAAAAAGAGTAACTCTGTGAACCTGCTTGAAGTCAATAAAAGTTTCTATCATTTTTAAAATGTCCTAATCTTAAAATAAATTCTCATACCACTAGCACTGTCAGCTTGGTTCTGGGCATTTCCTAACTTAAAATTTTTAAATATGTGATGGTTTGGAAATGTTCCTTAGAAGCTCAACAACTCATTTCTCCTCTGCGAAAACGGTAATGCAATTGTTTTCAAAGCGCTTTTGAGAAAAATACAGATAGGATAATGTACATTAAAAAAGCTAGCATATTGCTTGAATTAAGAAGTCAATAAGTTGCTTCCTTTTGCTTTGCTACAACTGTAATTATTTTAGGTGCAAATGGCACTGTGATCCTTGGCCATTTGCCTGAGTCTGGCTATAATGGTAAGATATCAGGATATATCTTTTGTAATAGTAATTTTTAAAAAGTTAATATTATTAGGTTTGTGCCCCTTCCAAAGACTAATGCAAGACCCAGGGCAATTACTCAAAAGAGGGCTATAAATTTTTTTATAAAGTAATGATGTATGTTTAGAGAAAGTCTTTTTGTTGTATTTTCTTATAAATCTGTTACTGGGTTACATATGAATTCAGGTTAAATATGTCAGAAAGAACTGATCTCTGTTAAAGAGAAAAGACACAGTTTTGTATGATTTGAGAATAGCATGCCAAGAAAAAAGGAAGAATTGCAAAACAGAGATTTTCCCCCAAAACACATTTAAAAAATGTGATGGATGAAGTGCTGATTCTGAGGTGAAAGAAATACTTTACAGATACTCTTCCTCTCCATTTTTACCGACAGTTCACTATCTCACTCTCATTTTTTTTCTAGGTTACTACATTAATCATATCATGGACCTCCTAAGTTCTTCAAAATTCTCCCACAGGCCTTAATTCTACAGATAAATATAGTTAGTTATATTAGCCTTTAAATACATTTCCAGAGTCATATACACATAATTTCCCCAAACTTCAGCATCCCAGTCTACCATCTCAGTCCAGCCTACTAATATATTCTCTTAATGCTGTGACTTAGTATATCCTTCCCTCACATAGCGACCACCTACTATTCATGGGCATTCAATGTTCATGTTACCTCTTTAACATGACTCCCTCGTGTGTTCAGTGCTCCACTGCAGGCCAAAGCACCTAATGCTTTCCATACAGCTCTATCATAGTATATAGCTCACCCCATGTTTTATTGTATTTTTTTAATATGTTAATGTCTTACAATAGACTAAAGGCTGAGAAGATGAAGTCATCAACTTTCTGGTTGTGGTACTCTGCTCATGTAGTGTCAAGATTCTAAGTCACCCACCCTTTACACCCAAGGGTGCTCTCCCATGTGCTACAGCAACAAGTCATCCCTTCTTCCTCACTTTCCATTCTCTCCTCCTTCCACTGCATCAGGCTTTTGTCTTCATTCTGTTGAAATGACTGTCAAAGTGGCCAGAATATTCTTGTTGTGATGTGATGTTCAAATTTGAATTTTCATATTACTTAAATTATGAGGAATTATTGTCCACTGTAGTAGGTCCATCTAGCACAAGCCTTTCTTTACTTGGACATCGGGATACTGCACTTTCCAGCTCTTCTTCTATACTACAGGCTATCCTCACTTTCATTATTTTTTTGTAGCTCATCCTCCTTCAGATCTTTTCAATTTGTTACACTTTGTGACACATCTTTTCTTTTCTTCTCTTCTCTTGCTAACCACCATCCCTCAGTGATGGCATCCATTTTCATGTCATCTATATACTATTAAAACTATATGTTTACCTCTAGTGACTTCTGTCCAGAGTCTTGCAATAAGTATCTCAAAATTAATATGTCTAAACCAATTATTTTGAAATTCTCCCCCATTTATACTATTCCCCATTTCAGTAAATGATACCACAATACACCTAGTTCTCAGGCCAAAAATCTAGGACTCATCTGAATTTTTCTTTCATATATTCAAGTTCACATTTACAATTACATTCTATTTATCAGTTAAGTTTGTCAGCACTGTCTAAAGATACACCCGCAATTCACTAATTCTCACTGCTGACCATGCCATTCCCGAGCCGCCACTACTCCTCCCTTCCACCACTGTGACCGTCTGCTGTTCAGTCTTGTTACTTCTCCTCTAACCCTCTTACACTAGCCAGTGATTTTTTAGAAACTAAGACCACTCTCCAGCTCAGTGAATTCCCACACAACTCAGAAAATGCAAACTTCCCACCCTCTTTAAGTCCCCTTACTGCTTGGCTTCTGCTCTGCCTCTACAAACCCAACTCCTGTCACTCTCACCATCTAACAGCCTTTGCTTTATTTTTCTCCATAGTACTTACCATTGCCTGAAAGAAGAGAACATATTTTTTTATCTCCCTCCACTAAAAATGTAAATTTTTCATAAGGGCAAGAATCTTATTTTCTTATTCAGAGCTATACCACCAGTGCCAAGAATAGTGTCTAACCGGTAAGCCATCAGTAACTACTCAAGGAATAAATTGTTGCATGACTGGTTGTGCATCTGTGCATATGCTGGGCTTACAAGAGATCTCTTCACCATTTTTGCATCACTTCTTTTTCCCAGTATTTTCCTCAACAAGCCATATTTGTTTAAATCCACTTCAATTATTTAAATTTTTTACCAACAAAATTTACCATGAAAGTATTCCCAGACATACATTTCCACACACATTTTACAAAGTTTCACTTCTTATGTATTATGACTTAATATTTGTTTCCTATATTTAAAAGGACATATTATAAATTTCCTGTCTGATCAGTATTACATGATACAATATATGGATTAAGAGAACAGGCTTTAGAATTAAGCAGCCTGGGTTCAAATCCCAATTCTGATTTTGTCTCTAAACCATAGAGATTTTACTATCTTTAAAAAAGAAATAATAATCTTATTTACCTCCTGGTGTTGGTGTCAATATTAAATGAAATAATGCTTAATAGTACTCCCTACAATTGTAGGTGCTAATAATTGGTATTCATTATTATATTTAATAGCTTTTTCATCACTAATGGATGAATGAATGGATGAATCAATGAATGAGAGTTCAGATGCTGTATCTATTGCTTCCCACTCATAGAAAAGATGATATTGACAGGTTTTGCCATGGAGCCAATACAGTAAAAGTAGTTTTGAGTCTCTAAAGGATTTGGAAAACTAACTCAGATAAGGGTGATGGGATAAGCAGCTAATTAAATACTTTTTGCTTATGGGGAGTAAGCCGCAGGTTCATTGGGCTTTTCAAAAGATAGTTCCCATTAACAGAAGTACTTATGCCCCAGTTCATGTATTGTCAGCTCTATTAGTGGTTGCAGGGGTTATTTGAATCACAAACTCTCAGAGATAAGAGAGCTTGGGGTTTCATAAGACTGAAAATTTTAAGAAATCTGAAGTGCGGCAGTGTCAAATTTGGAAGATAAAAACTTGGTCTTCAGCATAGTTTTCAGTTTTACATTTGTTCCAAGTTCAATGTTCTTATCAAGGTATTGTACTTTATTATAATTTACCTAAGAATGACTTGATATGGCAGATTTTTACAAGATTAATAAATATTGTTTACATACTGGTTATTTAAATTTGTCCATCTTCTAACTTAGTATTTGATCATTTTAACTATAAGCTGCCAGTTTTTGCAAAATTACTGAACATTTTATTGTGTTTTACAATGACAGAAAAAATATGAAAGTGCTGATAACAGTAATAAAAACTGTGAAACTGAGACAGTACAATTGAGATGGAAATCATTAGGATTGCAAAAGGTCTTTTCTTTTGGTTTCAGTGGGATGCTCACTTGGTTTGACTGAGCATTCAAATGAACAGTAAAGGCAGACAAGATACAATCATTCTGTATAAAATCTTGTAAATAGACTCAAAGATTATATCTAAACTGTAAAGTATAAATAGA